GCTTCCTCCGAAGGGTGGCTGGCCTCTCCCTTCAGTTCAGTTCAGCCATCCGGGAGGGCTCAGAGAAGAGCCGCTGTTCCTCCACATCGAAAGGAGCCAGTTGAGGTGGTTCGGGCATCTGACAAGGATGCCTGCTGGGCGCCTCCTGGGTGAGGCGTTCCGGGCATCTTCCACCGGGAGGAGGCCCTGGGGAAGACCCAGGAAACGCTGGAGAGATTATATCTCTCGGCTGGCCTGGGAAAGCATGGTGTTCCCCCGGACAAGCTGCTTAGGCTGCTGCTCCCGCGACCCGTCCTCAATAAGCAGAAGAAGATGGATGAACCTGTCATTGGGTTCCATAGTCTTTTCTTCTCAGTGAGTTGGTGCCCTGTTTATACTTCAGTTACAAACTAAGTAAAGTCTGGAAGCTGAAAACAAATGAAACTTTGCTAGCTTATCAAAACTGACATGGACAGTGTGTAGTGGTTGTTCTCCAAGATAGAGGTCAGCTGTGGTAGACTTCTGCCCCAATGGATGTGGTTCTGTTCTTGTGCCGTGATCACTGGATCCGTAGTGTCTTTTAAGTCTTTTCTAGCCACTGGGAGGATTTCTTGAGGTTAGCAACATCATCTATCTGTTCATACTGCTGTCAAAAAGTATTTACCTCCTTGCTAATTTCAATTTTTTTGGAGATTCATCACACTTCCATGTTTCAGATCATCAAACCAATTTTTATTCTAGACAAAGATAGCATGAGTAAATATAAAATACGCTTTTAAAATGAATCAAATGTATTAAGAAAGCTGTCCAAACCTGTATTCTTAGTGTTTTCATAGTGTTTTAATGGTTACGTGGGCACAGGACCAGAACAGAGCTGGTGTCCAGTATAATCACTGCAGTCAGCCTCCTGACATTATTAACGCAGCCGTTTTTGTAAAACACTGACATCTCTCATTAGCTTTAGGTCAGAATGCAAGCTCTGCATTCAAAAGCAATGCCCTCGACTGTTGGCGTTTCAGTGGAAAATGTACCAAGTGAACTCATTCTTAGTCCCTTTTAGTGCAATGTATTCAACCATTTTATCTCAGTAATCTTTTTGTTGCCTCCTCCTTTACATCAATATCTTAGTCTGGTTTAGTTGCTCAGTAGGTTGAATAGGTGTTCATCCTCCTACGAACCCAGTTGGTTCAAGGTCTGTTGCTAAGTCGAGTTTTAAATAGAGGCAGTGGAGGAGTGTGCTTTGAAATATTCATCATCATTAAACATGAGGACAGCCTTAGTTATGCCCCGTCCTACATTAGCCATTCTGCTGGCCACTGCATCTTTGAGCAGCCCATAGATAACTGGGTGAGGCTTGATAAATCAGATGTCCAGCATTGAGGCTTTATACTGCCTGAAGTGCCAGTCCAGCTCTATCCCCGTTCTCTTGCTGGATAACCTTTT